ACAATGGTTTTTCCTAAGGTGTATATCTCCTATAGTCGGGTGCCGATACATGCGACGTCGTCCCTCGATGGACAAGCGTCATCGTCGGTGATTATACATCACAGTCGGCAATCGCTTCCACACTAATGTGACCTGCGTGCACTTGTATGATGAAGGCCAATAAATATCGTCATTCGCACGGGATTGGTCATCGCAACGACCATGTGCACCTGCACCAATTCCTCTCAGGGGGAGGAGGAATGTATTCGGTCGAACACCGAATATTAAAAAAGTAGCGGAATATGCCGAATATTCTTGGCATCACTACTCAAAACTGTTAACGTCTGGTCAAATCTGGCATCTGGTTCTAAAAACTAGCAGCTTGAGGTAACATTTAAAGGTTCTGTTATCATACTTAATCATAAAAAATACATCTACTTACAAAATTAGACATTGCCTTGTAGGTTTTCGAAATCAATAAATATAGGAATGGTTAGCTACGAATCATTGGCTTCGTGTTTTACGACGTGCGGTATCCTACAATCTTCTTTTGTGTGACTCACTTTATACCAGTAACAAATGAATAATAATTATTATTTAAACTATAATTAAGTGAACCTACGCACAAGATTAGTTTTCCTTCTGTGGGACTACATGTAATTCTAAACAAATAGTATGTAATAATCTTGAATTGTATAATGATGCTGGTGCTAATGAACTTCACACTAGGTTCAATTATCGCTAGAACCCCATCAACACATTTTTTTAAAGTTTTCCAGCTCTTAGATCGTAGTTCATGTATATATATATTTAATTTGAAGAAAGGCAATACATGTTTTGGATCCTTTGAATACCTTCTAATCAAGGATGGATAGTATGTTGAAATACGAAGGAATATATTTATTTTAAAAGCATTCACAGATCGGTGTATGGGAGATACGTACTACCTGTATTTATTTTTTTTTTATTTTTGGTGAAAGCAGATATTTTTCATATGTTCTCTCGAATAAATATAAGATTTCTGGATCCAAAAAGCTATACTGATCTCGTTGCTGGAAACACATACAATGTTTATCAAAAAGGTCCCCTATCTATTTTTTGAACTGGTAGAGTTAGCAAGCTGAAATTCGGGGTCATAAAATTAATGCACGAATACCATATTAGCGTGAACATCTCACTTGAAAATTAATGTGGCGTCTGGGAGCCATCTGCGATATTTTGAATCTCCATAAGAGTACCTTACAACCCTTGAATTTAAAACGACTACCTTTCAAAATGGCGGGCTGACAGTCTGTCAAAGTTGGACGTTTTTTATACACTAAATTGCTAGAGTATATGTTATATTAAATTCCTTCTTTCGAATCTAAATATCTAAATATATAATAAGATTTAAACTGAATAACCCATATTTATGGTACATTTAGATAGACCATTCCAAAAGAGGAAGAATAATATAAGATCCTACGAGTATAACGTTTTGTGATTAGTTCTTAAATTACAAGAGATTCAATGTACAAAAAAGCTTAACCATGACACTAGTAAATGCGTTATTCTGGAAGATGATGAAATTATATTCTAGGGTAACCAAGTACCGATAAACTTCAAAATGAGGTAAATGCATGACCTCAATTCTTTCAAAAAAATGTTGCAAAATGGACTTCAAATGCCATCTTGAAATTTTCAACTGACTATCATCGTACGAAATCTTAGCTTGCTAAGTTGACCCATTTAAATACAAGTATGGAGGAGGCGCTTTGTCATACGCAGTGTGTGTATACGCTTGCATGGCAAACGACTCTTATCTGAAATCATATATTCTAAAATGAATCATTCGAGTTTCAGCCAGGTGCAATATAGGTAACTGTAATATATCAATACTTTCCGTGAAATGCAAACTACGATATCTATAATGCCACCCAAGGCTGAGGTTGTCTATATTTATCAAAGCTTCCTGGTAAACATACACATACTGGAAAGGTCTCAATAACAGGTGCAGCTGGTATGGTATGTATGCTGAATGAAAAATTAGGACCTCTGACATGGGCGTAGGTATCATCACTTTTGCTCTGCTTGCAGAATTAAAAATTTTGGTATTGTTGGTGGATATACCAAAAAGCGCCAAAATGTGAGATCTTAAAGCCAATTATTAAACACATCAGGAAAACTAAATCCGCATGGTGGCAGCACAAGTACCAAATGCTCTATTTCATCGAATGTCTTGCCTACTGTTCTCCGAACACGCCTATCCATCACGGTGCCATAACGCAACTTTGCTAGAATGACTTAAGTTTGTGCTAGCAAAAATATTTAGCCAGCCCGTGAAGGATTTTTTTATTGTCACCTCCGGATAGAACCACTGGCCACAACGATCATCCAATAATGTTCTCCCGCTGCTCTCCCCTCTCGTCGGATGCCCCGCTTAACACGTGCAGCTAGTTCGGAAATTCTATCTGACCAAGGTCGAAAGTAACAACAAGGACATTTATTATTATTATCAAAGCTATAACCAAATATGGGATTTGTATTGTTGTGGATAGCTCTTATTTATCCACCGATCCCCAACTTTGACTTCACGTTCGTGTTCAGCGTGAAAAAGTACATTCAAGAAAAATTATGGAACCCCAAGCCCACACCACCTGTTTTATTTTGAAGTCCTATGTAATCGATTTTTGCTCAATTTTGGAATCAGGAAATCGGAATCTAAAGGAATCAGGACTAATCAAAATAAACGGTTCCGAGGCCAGAATCGAAACCATTAAATATGCCAAAAAATCTAAATGGCCTCAAAGGGGACAATATGGACTTTCACAATAATAATAATAATAATAATAGTGTCTTTATTTTTGGGTTGAAAGAACAACAAAGCAAAAAACTCATTTGGTGAGGGAGCCGGCATTTAACATCGTTGCTCTTCCATGCAACCCCAATATATTCTTTTAATAGGACAGAGACAAGAATGCTACTGCGATAATTTTAGAATTGTTTCCGGGAGTATAATTTCTCTCAAAGCTGTTCATTTAATTTTGTTGCGTGAAACGCCCCTGAACTACGCATATGAGCGGAGTTTGTCCTGTAATGGCAATAAAAGCCGTAATTTATATTTGCTTAGTCTGTCGGGTCGTCATTGAACATATGTTATTCAGCCTAGCCAGATGCAGACATTACACAGAGAAATGATAACAAGAATCGATAAAGTATAGTATAGAAGCCTGACGGGATATCTCGTGTTATGTCTTCACCATCTGGCGCTAGGAAAGTTTTTATACATATACAAATAAGACATGTTTTTGTTTGCCTGTCGGAGTTGTAACTCCTGGGTGAAAAATTCTTGCTAATGTAAGACGAATTATAATATAAGAACGATAAACGTGAAAACAACATACCCACCTTAGAAGGGTTCGAAGTACCACACTGCACCATTTTATTTTTAGTACAAAGGCAGTACGTAAACAATTCGATATGGGCAACAATGTCAGGATAATATTAAAGCATAAAGCTACTTACTTGGTGAACGATAACGAGTCATCCTCGTTTGGCGAGGGATAAGGGCTATGTGATCGGATTGTCGGGGCCAGTACCTATTTTTAGAAAAATGATTTGAGTACCTCTCAGACTCAACCGACTCATAACATGTACAATCCTACCACTATCTAGGATTTCGTTAAAGTCTAATCATATTAGACGAAAATACCTCTGGTTTGCGAAATAATTGTAAAGTCTGGTTTTATTGCTGCAAGTTGTTCAAGGGGGTATTCAAGACATGGACGCATAAAATCTCTCTCACAAATAGGAAATGTTTGAATTTACTTAGAAGAAAAAAAACGTAACTTTTGTTTTCGCATAAAAATAACATTTATCTTTCGGAATGGTTTGTGATTCATGTCGGCAAGGCAAACACGTGTATTTTGCTATTAAATGCTCTTTGAACGGACCCTGTATATTGCTCAATGAACTAGTAGTGATGGCTGGAAAACAGGTGTTTTGGGATCAACAATTAGTAATTCTCAAAAAACTACTTGGTCGATATAATCCAATTTTGTTGTTGTTATTTAGAAGTATGAATCCTACGAATTTGAAGAATTTCAAGTAATTGCATGAAATTATCGTCGCATTATCAAGTGCCAAAGCCTGCCTCGTTTTTCGGCCGTAACATGTTTGCTATTAGTCGGATCTTTTTACGTGTGGTCTCATTTTGTAGGTCTCATAAATAGCTAAAAACTTAGACGAACAGTTTTTTCGTTCCTGTCAACACTTTCAATTGAATCCTACAAAAACACGTTTTCTCATTCTTTGTTGTCAAATAAAAAGTTTTCCCACAAACATTGCTGTACCTATTTTATGCGTCCATGTTGTAAATACCCCCTTGAACAACTTGCACCAATTAGACTATGACCACTGACTGACCACCTTTTTCGAACAACTGTTTCAAAATCAAATAACTTGAAAAACGAGACAGCAAGGTGACAAACGATGACAAGAATCACCGAAATAAAATTCCAGTATTACATGCGAGAGTGTGTCGCATGCAACACCGGTGTGGTGACTTGGCCTATAGGGTAATTCCGGTAGACATCGACCACCGGGAGAGACCGACCACTACCGATAACTTAACCACAAAGCAATAGATGAATCCGTGACTCACATGTATGATGAGATTAGTTGACTTTGTTAAATCGAACACGTAAACAAATAGTAACAGTAATATAAATTTACAAATTAATTTCAAAAGTTTGTGCAAACTTGAAATTTTGTTGACTGATTTACTGTGCGATATTTTAAAGACAGGTAAGTTTATTTAAATTGTTTCAATACTGGATGATAAAATATGCGTGCAAAAAATGTAGGCATTTCTCATTTTTCCTTCGGTTAACATTGGTAGAGTACGACCATATCAATCCGGGAGAGACCGACATGGAAATAATAATAGTAATAATGAAATATTCTGCTGTCTGAAGGAAATTGGTGATATAATAAATCTCAATTTAATAAAATAAATTTATTGTAATATAATATTGTTACAGATTAACAAAAATTCCCACGACTTACAAAAGGAAAAATGTGGAGAGGGCTAAATGTGTGTAAATGAAGCCGCCAGACAATTTGGAATACCCAAAACAACGCTAAAAGATAGGATTAAGAAGGACGACGCAATAAAACAAAACAGGTTCAAAAAGTGTTTCTTCGTTAACATCAAGTGAGAAGGGCAAAACAATTTCGGTTCTAGCGTGCTGCCATGCAGAGGGAATGTTTCTCCCACCTTACTCGATATTTAAAGGTAAAAATAGAAAAGAGGAGTTTTTAGAAGGAATGCCACCTGGCTACCAAATTTCTAAGTCGGAGAAATCGGCGTATATGAACGCTTCCATTTTCAAGGATTGGTTTAATTTTTTTGCCAAGAAAACCAGCTGGAAAAGTGTGGCCATACTTCTCATACCAATTCTGTGGAAATATTGGAACTTTGTGAAGCTAATGACATAATGCTACTTTGTTTACCGAGTCACACGACTCATTATCTACAACCGTTGGATAGGTCCTTTTTTAAATCTCTGAAAAATCATTACTACGCGGCTTGTAACAATTTTTTAAAAGCAAATCCAAGTAGGAAAATAACAAGGATACTTTTTGGAAATCTTTTGGGACAAGCCTGAGGCAAATCAGCGATTGTGGAAAATGAGATGTCTGGTTTTAGTGTAACAGGCATTGCACCCTTTAACCCAGAAGTTATTCCAGATTACGCTTATATTAATATTCAAATGGAACAAGATGCAGAGACCAGGTCTGGTTCAAATAGTAACGCTAAAAATCCATCCTCTGCTTCGACTCCGCCCCGGTCCCCTACTGCTCGGGCCACTAATACCCGCATCACTGCCTGGTGGTTCGCACGATCCTGACAGTGCAATAGTTGAGATTTACCCCACACTCAACTCTACACCAGCAAATTTGTTGGAGAACGTGATTTCGCCAATTCCAAAAACTAGCGCAAAAGCAGCAGTTAAAACACGAGGTAGATAGTTTGCGACTATTTTAAACAGTTCACAACGCATTGAGTTTCGGAAGGATAAAAAGAATACAAAGAAAAAAACAAATGTCCAATTCAGAAAAAAAATGTAGTTAAACAGAAAAAACCATTAGAATATACAGATTCGGAGGACTATTACTAATGCGTAGGATGTGGGGAAAACTATTTTGAAACCAATAAGAATGAAGAATGGCTCAAATGTGTGAACTGTAGTCGTTGGTTCCATAATGGATGCTCAAAATTCGAGAATATTTGCGAGATATGCGGAAAAATGAAAAAGAAAAGTCGAAAAAATTAAATTTATTTATACGCTATAATTCTACGTTTATTATTATACTGTTCTAATATGTTTTGTTATTTTATGTTTTGTTATTTTTCGAAGTCGATCTCACCCGTAGTTGATGGTCGGTCTAACCCGGACATCCGGGCGAGATCGACCAGTTACAATGTTTGAACTTTTAGTTCAAAATAAATATTTGTGGTTGTATTATATCTTAAATTGTAATTTATTTACTATCCTAACCCTTTAGGTAATGCTTTAACAGTTAAAAAAATATGTACCTCAGAAGCCAAAAAATTTACAATATTTTTTCCAAAATGTGGTCGATCTCTCCCGGACTTACCCTACCTTAGTGAGGATTGCTAAAATGGATGAAACAAAGTTGTATACGGTTGGTTATGGTCCAGAAGTATATTTTAAGATTGTACCTAAAGAAGCAAAAGGATGGGATACACCCCTGGTTATGGTCGCAGAGACGGAAAACAAACAGATCCAGTCTGACCAAAGGCTGTCTTGTATGATTTTCTGTATTGCCTAGTGGAAATATCAGATACGATATCTGATAGAATTGAGCCGCAAATCGCCATTAAGCAGTAGGTTGAACGCAGAAGAGAGAAAAGTTGGCCGGGTGACCATAATAAGCGCTCGGTTCGCCGCTGCCGCTTCCCGCTCGCTGCTGTCGCCGCCGCCGCACTCGCTGATCGGACGGCACGATGGCGCCAGATGTTGTTCGGTGCCGCCGGCCACTAACCAATGACGTACACTTTGTATCCTTGTTCAGGGTATTGGTAAATAATACAGAGTTACCAGTAGAAGAGCCACATCGGCGAAAAAACGGTGCCTGGGTGGCTGAAATGCCACGAGGATCACGCTATATATTTTGAGATATACGAAAACCAAAAACTATTTTTGGAAAACTAGTTTATTTATGTTTAAATTATTCTCCTCCAGCATCAATGCACTTCTGTAACCTGACCTTACACAAATGAAATGCTTCTAACCAGTCAGTTTTTGGAATGCCTTCAACAAACTGAATGATCGCTTGATCGATTTCTTCGGACGAAAATTTTCGAAAACGTAGATTTTTTTTCAAATTCTTGAAGAGCCAGAAAGTCACACATTTTTTTGAATGAACATGATCATGCAGAATGGTGTGCACTGTTGCGGATCTTACCACAAGAGTAGCCTCTATAGTCGCATATGTGCAGTGAGAATCTTCTTCAATTAGCCGATAAACTTTAGCAACGTTTTCTGGAGTCTCACTAGAATATGGCCTACCACTACGTTCTTCATCAGCCAATGAAACACGGTTTCTTTTAAATTCGGCATACCAGCGAAACACACTTGCCCGGGACGGAGTTTCATTTCCAGATGCCTTGTTGTATGAGTTCGATTCACTGAGATTTAAACCGACTTTAAGGTCATGGTAAATCATAGCGCCTTAACTCTCTCAAGACAACTCCATGTTTCGTGTTAAATTTGTTTACACCACGTGGACTGTAATACGCTTGTAAATGAACTGAATGCGGCGACTTGCTAATAAAGGACTGCTGTTTCTAATAGTGCACTTTTGCCGGTTTTAACTAGTATAGCTAATGCGCATCTCAAAATATACAGCGTGCTCCTCGTGTTTGGATGCGATCGCCCAATTACTACCCGCGGAAGTAGTCCAGTAACTATCTTCGCATCTGCTAGGAAAAATCTTCTGATAAGGTTTTGCACAACGTTAATAAAAAAGAAAAACTATTGTTGACGTAATCTTAGGTCTGGCAACATGTCGATTTTTTAAAAGGTGCCCTTTTCAATAAGATTACGCGAAAAAACAGGATACACATAGAAATCGGCCCACTGTAAACTTTTGACTTTAACTATATCTTTTTTTAAATTATCCATCAGATCAAAAAAAGAAATATGCTGTTTGAAAGAATTTAATATGCTTTAATATGAGTATAAATTTATGGAAGCTTATTTCGACTTCCTATGTTTAACATAGTGAAATAAATTAACGTATTAAGCAAATTAAGCTTTTCTATTATTAACACAAGCAGGGTTAATGACAATTTAAAACTTAACACTTACTTTTTTAATAATGGGTATGATCTCCTCTTGCCGTAGCAACATCTCTCATATGATTAGACATAGATCTAATCAAGTTTGCTATTGTTTCTTGTGGGATGTTAAGCCACTCTTCTTCTACTGCAACAATAAGCTCTGGGATCGGTTCGGGGATGAAGTCTAACTCGAATTCTTCGTTTTAGCTCATCTCATAAATTTTCGATCGGATATAGGTCAGGACTGTATGCTGGCCGCTCCATAATCCGAAAACCGACTTCTGCAATGTAATCTTGCACGATGCTTGCGGTGTGCGGCCTTGCATTGTCATGCATAAAGGTAAATTCGTCTCCAATGCAGTCGACGTAAGGTACCACATGAATTGCTAAAATCTCCTCGATATACATATCTAGCAGCCGTTGAACCTCCTCTTCCGTTAACTATCTTGGTCTTCGGTACACTTTCCTTCTTCGGTCGCTACGATGGAGGTATACTCTGGTCTCATCTGAGAACAAATCAGATCCCCATTGTTCCAACATCCAATTCAGATGATCCAGTGCAAAACGCAGGCGTGCTTGCCGATGAGCTGGAGTAAATATTGGACCAATCGCAGGTGTTTTACGGGTCAGGTTATTTTCCTGCAGTCTTCGTCTTACTGTCCACTGACTATTTATTAGCCACTCCTCGCAGCTCACGGAGCTGTCGTTCCCTTTGAACGGCATTAAGGTGACGATTTCTTAATGTTGTTGACACAATAAAGCGGTCATTACGAGCGGTTGTAAATCGCCTTCTGTCTGTTCCAGGTCGCCTATGAAAGGATCCAGTCTCTTCATAGAGTTGACACACTCTTCGAACCGCTGCGCGTGTCATATCCAATTGTCTAGCGACAGCTCGCTGACCAAGTCCATTTTCGATTAAAGCAATAACTTGGGCGGCTTTTTATGGTGTAGTATGCATTAAACTAACAAACTTAAACACTATTGAGATATGAAAAACGAATAATATGCAAATTTCCGTTGCAAACGCAATAATTTTAATCTTTGACAAATTTGTTATTTTGTTACAATCACCACATAAACACGTTTCATTTGTTTACCGGTTGCTACGCATATAAACGACAAGCCTTCTTGATAAATTTATGCTCACTTAAAGCATAGTTGTCTTTCAAACAGCATATTTATTTTTCTGGTCTGTGGAATAATTAAAAAAAAAGTCAAATGTTTACAGTGGGCCGATTTCTATGCACGCGAGTGTATTTCCCGGCCTATAAAGCATGACAAAAACAAATAAAAAAGGTACCCTAAACCTCAGCCAGGAAGTAGTCGATGGCCGGCGTCTGATACCATCGGAAGCAATTCGGAAGTGGGTCATGTGGCTGTTGTATGATAGGGTCAGTCATGATGACAAGGTGGTGTAGCGGGTCTGGATGTAAAACAAAGCAAGGAAATGATGTGCCGATCATTAATTGCCCTACATGATGTTAGGCAAGTCTGATTCCGAGATATTTGGAATCCATTTATCCATAGAGGACCTCTGGCCGAGGTATAATTGACGAAGGATATCCACCCAACGTACAGTGTCAAACACGAGATTTGACAAATTTGATATTTAGTTTCACTACTACTAGCAAAAATTTACAAAATTATTTTAATTTTACCATTATTTAACGGAATCCACGAAAATAAATAAATTATGCCAAGGACAGAAAATAATCCTAGCGAATATAGATGGCTATACCGTGTATTGATGCACGATTGCATAGGTTTCTGCAAGCGTTAATGCTTTTGAAAACTATACAATTTCATGCAACAAAAGTCTTGAAAATATGAACAACAATAAAAAACATGGTTTGTTTATTCACTTACTTCAGCACTGCTTACATTCATTTTCAAATTTGTTACCATACAGTATATTCTAAGTTTTGACAAAATTGGCACAATGGTTTACTGAGATTACTCTATGACCAATAACACAGGAGATGACATGTGGAGAAACGCCAATTAGTGAAGTAGAGGCTAAAAACTTTTCGCAATATTTTTGAGCAAATGATATTTATCATTGTCTACGCCATAAAAATAATAATGACATGAATCACCCTCTATGGAATTATAAACAATTTTTGACAACCTCTTCTGTACGTGCGCCAAAGCACGACAGCACTAAAAAGTGCGGGACCTCTTCCGTTGAGGCACCTAAACAATAAAAGTCATCTGCCCGTTCTACTGGTAACTCTGTATTATTTGGTATTGATCACCATTCAGAAATGACGTTGTGTAAAAGAACATGAGTAATTGATCGCCGCTTCTATTCGCTTGTCGCTGCCTGCTCAAGCGTTTATGGCCCACCTGCCAATAGGAGCGCGGGAATTTAAACGTTGCGCGTTAGCGTTTGTTTTGCTGGGGCATAAATAAGAGTTAAGTACGCCATTTTTGTAATTATCAAGCAGTCGCGAAGGCAGAGTCTATATAGTCTAATACCCAAGTGGAAATCGCGAAAAAGCCAAACGTTCTCCGAGAACGCGTCTTCAGGGCCATGAGTGAGGGTGACATGTCTGCTTTATCCAAAACAACAGAGAACCTCATGCTCGCTGGTCGCTTTGGAGGGGGGAAGACGACTTTTTAAAGCGGGACTTCCTACCAGAGACAGAATACGAAAAATTGTCTTTATTAAAGAGCAGCAATAGCGGAATACCGGGTATTGGAAGTAAAGGGACACTTTACCTGAGCTCTACTCGGTTTTTCTAAATAGCTGTCTATATTGTGTCTCATCCTAGCAGATCTTTGCCTAAAAGCATATTCTTAGTTGAGCGTAACTTGGACATTACTGTAGTTATATTATTATCATCACAATTTAGAGCGAGCTGGGCTTGCTCAACAGTACAATCTGCTGTCATCAGTTCGTAAACGATTATGTTAGGCACAAGTTAGCCCTTCTGAAAAGTTAGCTACGAATATGTAGGTATAACAAAAGATTGAATGACTCTCCCACTCCCACTGAGAGAAATTCCTGCGGGCGCACATGATCGTTGCTATGACTAATCCCGCGTGGCTGCCTTTTACAGCATACAGCCCACAACAGTACGGAAGCTACTGCCGACTGTGACGCAGGACGCACGATCATCAGCCTGAATACGGCGCATGTATCGACACGGGACTGTTGGAGATATTTCTAAGTTTTGAGGGTAAATGTACGGATATATGATGCGTGAAATATGTCTAAAAGGTGCGTAGAATTACTGGGATTCGAGACGTATATACAGGGTGACTTCGAAGTTGAGTCATTTATTTTAACAGTGAGTAGATCTGATCAAAAGAAATGTTTTTTTCCTTTACCATTTTTCTGGTAAAATTAAAGTAACAAAGTTATAGCCCTTTGGAAGTTTGAGTACCGCCCTGTCTCAATAATAATATTATGTACTCGTGTTTGGCGACAACGGATATAATCCGCCGTATCGGTTCATCGCATCGGAAACAAAAAAGCGAAAGAATTTGGAACGATGTTTTTACAATTATTTCATTCATTTGTATACAGTCAGTGTCAGTGAATAGTGGTATCTGTTGGGTGGCTCAAACGAAATAAAAAATGGCACATGTTTATGCGGATCGGTTTCCCAATCGAGTGCAACCAACCCCTCGTGCCTTTGTTAATGTAGTACAACGGGCTCGTGAATCAGGTGACTTAAGACCTCACAGGGGACCTCACGATCAAATACAGGTCCGTACTGAAATACTTGTCGGGAGGATACTTTATAGAACAAGGTAAAAAATTTTTTTTTATTTTTTTTTTATTTTTACACACATATTTTGGTTTATCTTCCTTCTACAATCATTATCTGAAAATTAATGACTCAACTTCATACTTTATAAAACAAGGTAAAAAATTTTTTTTATTTTTTTTTTATTTTTACACACATATTTTGGTTTATCTTCCTTCTACAATCATTATCTGAAAATTAATGACTCAACTTCAAAGTCACCCTGTATACAGGGTGACCCATCCATGTGTGGACGGAATATTAGATACTAATAAACAACCCATTTTGGGAAAATCTATTTGTGGGATGTTATACATGACATTTGAGGGAACATTTCTAAAATATTGGCCATTATACAGGGTGTCCCATTTTAGACCTACATATCAAAGTTGTGATTTTTCAAATGGAGTGCCTCAAATTTTATTGCATATTGGTATAAACCAATTCAAATCATGCGTCTCGGAAATATCAAAAAAGGGACCGATTTTCAAAAAGATTTTGTTTCTTAGCATAGTAGTAACCTTGTGTAAAAGTTTCATCCAAATTCGAATGGTACTTTCCAAGTTATAGAGCGTCAAGGATTTGCGGACAGACAGACAGATCGACGGAAATGAGTGACATGTTTTTTCGTGATGTACATACATGTCATATAACATCAAAAGAACATAATAAATCATTTTCGAAAAAATTTGCGATTACAATACTTCCTCGCCAGTAGGCGTGGGAAGTAAAAACGTGGCTAAAAACAAAACTACGCCTCTGAGCAACAAGCATGAGAGCATGAGAGCAGGGCATTATGTTGAAAAGAGGCTGTGCTGTAGAAGCTGAACCGAACTGTGAACTGCTGAAGAAGCTTTTCGCGACAAGAAGTCGCGGGACCGTCTTGCATCTCACCATATATGGGCATCGGGCGTTCGGATGCCATAAATGCAATTCCTTATAAGATGCGGAAAGGATTCTGCAGTTACTCGCCGACAACCGCATTGGCTCCCTTGTGAATATTCCTTCTGCAAACATACGCTTGTGTTGATGAACCTGTTATACTAAGGTCACAGCAAATTTTACATTTATCTTGTTGAAACTATTCCAGAATTTTTGTCGTAATTCAATCGGTAACTTTCAGAAACCATTTTTCACAGCTTTTTTGTTTACTAAAAACGCTTCATCAGAGGCAAACACGTATTCTGGGTAAGTAAATGCATTCCTTTCCCACTCAAATAATATTATGTAACACATGTTCAATCCAAAAACATCCGGCACGGGAATTACGTATCTTGCCATTTATGTCGATTTTTTTTGACATTGTATTGTTTTTTTTTGTGACATTATGTAGGTTTTTCTACAAGATGTTAACTTAGCACTAACTGATGGACACGTTGTGAACTCGTTTTGTAGTTGTACGTGTTGCCTAAACGTCATGATGCTTCAGATATCAATGTTTTGCTCTGATGTGATGTAAAATCTGCTTCAGAGATGGTATTACTGGAGGTCTAAGCTGTAAGTTGTATACTATAGCTCGAAGGAAACGGCAATGCATAGGTGCATAGTAAGGATTTGTGTGCTAATAATATGTCTTGTGATACTTCCATTGGATTCTTGTCTCAAATACACTTACTTGAAATTCAAAGCTAGAAATTGAATGAATGAATGAAAATTTAAAATTAGAGGCATCATGGCCACCATAAGGAGCCAGTGCATAGGCCGCATAAGCGGGCCCTTATGCACCTCTACAATCCTTAAATCACAAGCCTCGCCCTTTTAGCGAAGTTGAGAATCGCCTTGAGTCCAAGCTCCTTGACGTCCTGAGGGTCCAAAGTAATAGACCCCAGTATAGTCTGCCTATAGTAGCTCAGAGCTTCACAGCGACACAAAACGTGCGCCGAGGTCTCTTCCTCTACTCCGCAGCGTTCGCACAAGGGATCCTCAGCAACACCCATCACGTGCAGGTGACGCCTTAACGTGTTATGG